TTCCCTGGTGCTGGGGCTAATGACTCTTAGAGTTTGGGTAAGGTATGCAAATTTTAGGTGTCTTTGTCTTCTTAATCTCCTAGCAGGTGTAAACCAACCTTCCTGATGGTACATCTGCATTTATACATCTGCATTTCTTCTTGGGGGAGGGAGACCTGGGGCTATTAAGAAAAACTGGGCATGCTTTTCTGCCTCTTTAAGATCCTTGGAGGAAATTTATTTTTCTGCCCTTTTAATATTTCCTTCTCTGGGGGGGGGGGCGGGAGGCTGACTTCCCACAGTAATAAAGGGGGAAGTGAGATTAAGGGTTTCTCTTCTTGGGTGAGAAAGTTTGCTCTGCCAGCTTCACACCCTGAGTTGTGATATGGAAACCTCAGGTCTCCAATTTATTTGTGTTTCAACAGGACAGCATGTGTCACTGCAAGGGTACTACATCCGTTTCCTGCAAATGTGCTAATGGGCCATATGAGAGAATTCTACTGCCATCCATCTGCCGATTTTTAACAAGCCTGATTGGCAAGTGGATGTAACAACTGACATCTGTTCTTCCTTATTGATATGTAGATTTATGGTAATTGCTGTGAACAATAAGACACCAAATTACCTAAGGTGAACATTAAATTAAATTTTCATCGCCCCTCTCCTTATAACTGCATTTTATAAAAATCTTACATTTTCAGCAGACATATTGTACATCCATTATAAGCATAATTTAATTGTGTTTTTAATCGGCCAAGCAATGAGTATCCAAGTTGCGATTCTCACTGTCCAGAATATTATCCTATTTTGATAGCTGAGCAGTTTATATTGCCGAAATCAATTAAATTGCACGTTTATACTCAACGGGTTTTTTTCCTCCAACATAAGAACTAAGAAGCATTTCTAGAGGCTTGTTTCTCCAAAGGGAACCTCTCTTTCTCCTCCCCCTCCCCAATGTAAATAATTAACATCTCTTCCAAAAGTACTATGTCTGTAGAATATTCAGTGGTTTCAGCAGAAGATTATCATATTATTTTTCATTTCATTTTACTCTGGAATGTAGGGGAGAAGCCACAGGAACAGAAGAAAAAGCCTCTTGCTTTTTGTGAAAACAGTATATTTTGGATGATAATCAACAGCAGGGGTCTTCAAACTTGGTCCTTTTATGACTTGTGGACTTCAACTCTGGCTGAGGAATTCTGGGAATTGAAATCCACAAGATAAAAGGGCCAAGTTTGAAGATCCCTGATCAACAGCATAAGCAGCTTGAGAAGTAAAGAGCAATCAGATGCAGAGCAATGGGATATGCAACCTTGTCCTGGAAATTATAGGTACCACAACTGAGCCCAAAATTTCTGTTGCTAGGAGAGGCAGTTGTTAAGTGAGCTTTGTCCCATTTTACGACCTTTCTGGCCACCGTTGTTAAGTGAACCACTGCAGTTGTTAACTTAGTAACATGGTTGTTAAGTGAATCTGGCTTCCCCATTGACTTGACTTGTCAGAAAGTCACAAAAGGTGATGACATGACCCCGGGACATTGCATGAACCTGTTGAAGAAAAAGTCTTCATCAGGGTTCAGTCCAAGCTGGGAATAAACAACACGCTGGCTGCTTTAGAAAGAAGGTTGCAGTTTATTGAAGAGGAGAGCCAGACAGAAAGATGGCTCTGGAAGAAAAGAGAGCGAGCACATGCAGGGAGTGGGTTTTTATATCCTCTGGAGCCTTTTGTTTGGAGTTGTTCCTTTGGCCTGAACTTTGACCTGAGTCTGAGTGCCTTTCCGGTATTCTGATGGTGATGGGTTAATCCTATTATGTCCTGTCTTAGAGTTTGGGGGGCGGGTATGTAGATTTTAGGTGTCTTTGTCTTCTTAATCTTCTAGCCTTTCTGAGTTATTTACATCTGCATTTCTACAGAGCTGGTTTCTGCTTGGGCAAGGGAGACTTGGCGCTCTTAAGAAAATTGGGCATGCTTTTCTGCCTCTTTAAGAACTTTTTTAGAAAATATATTTTTCTGCCCCTTTAATATTTCCTTCTCTGGGGGGGGGCTGACTTCCCACAAACCAGTTGTCAAGCATCTGAATTTTGATCATATGGCCATGGAGAGGCTGTAACGCTCATAAGCATGGAAAACGGTCATGTCACTTTTTTCAGTGCCGTTGTAACTCTGAATGGCCACTAAACGAACTTCGAATCATCACTAAACAAACTTTGAATGGTCACTAAACAAACTTACACAGGACTACCTGAATAAGATAATGCTTTAATTCACATCTTTATCCCCCATTTAAGTGGTGCTATCTAGTGCATCTGGGCTGGTTCTTATTGTTGAATTCTTCCAAGGAAAAGACACAGTCTGGTTGAGCAGCCACTCCTGTCATCAAGATCTGTTGGCTTTAATAAAGGTAGCTTAATAAAGGTAGCTTCTCCTGTAGCTGAGCAGGAGAATATAACCTGGCTGGATATTCAGCTGACAAAAGGTTCAAGTGATAAACAGAGCCAGTGCATGAATATCCCCTTAATGATACAATTGACTACCGTACATCCCATTATTGTCAGCCGTTAACACTTTGAAATGAGTGTGTTTTGGACAACGGTGGCCGTGGTTCAAAAAGAGGTTCTCTGATTTATCCATGGCACGAAGTCAGGAAAGAAAAGCAGAGCTTATCTGCGCTAAGTGCCTTGTTGCACAGTATGGTGTGTTAAATATAAATCTCAGCCAGTTATGTGGCGGTATATGAACAGACAAAGAACAATGAGAGATTAGCTCTTTCCTCTTTGTTTTGAGTCCTGGCTGTTGTTGATTTTTTTCCAACTCGCAGAAATGTTTCTTTTAGTTCCTGCTGGCAGGTGGCCTTCTGCAAGGCAGGTAGAGGCCTTGTGAAAAATCCTGCCCTTATTTATTCTGATAGCCATCACCAAAGCGTTATTACCTACACCAATTTTCCTAAAGAGTGAAAAAAATATGAGGAATCTGTTGACGCCTTTTGCATCGGGTGTTGGCACGTGCACCTAATGTTTCTATTATTTAACCTTCCTGCACAATCTGAAGTCTTGATCTTCCAGGGTTTGCCGTGTGTGTGTGTGTATGTGTGTATTGTATTAATTAAATTTCTTGTGGTTAATGTTCCTTCAGAGCTCTGAATAAATGTTCAGCAAACACCTTTCCAGGTCTCCCTGGAATGGAAATTATTGCAAACGTGTGACTAAGGTGACTCCTCATAATTCTGAACCACAGGGGATTGGACTTGATAGCAAATTATCCCTGGCAAAACCAGACTGATGGGTTGTCACCCAGTAACAATCTTTTCTCTTCTTCCTTTTGAAGTAGAAGCATCCTTGTTGGATAACAAGGTATCCTTCTGATGCTTCCTAAAAAAAACTTTGCAAGGAGGAAGAGATGGCTCTTTTCTGCTGCTCGTCTTTGACACACGTTTTGATAAACAACTCGGAGCTGTCCCAAGATAGTTCTGCTGCATTTTTTTATTGTGGCCTCATGGCGTAACTCACGCTTCGCATTCATGAGGGCCCTTGCTGAGTTCCTGTCATCTGCTCCGTCAGGAAAGCTTATATATATTCTGAGGTTTTCGTGGGTGTTTGTATGTAGGTCTTTGGTTGTTCGGGTTTTCTCCCGCGTAAAATTGGAAGTGTCTTGGCGACATTTCAACGAAGTCCCATTCATCATCTTCAGGCTGGTGTTTTCGGCTTCGTGCTTCTAGGAGCAATCTAGAAGCACAAAGCCGAAAACACCAGCCTGAAGATGACGAATGGCACTTCATCGAAACGTCGCCAAGACTCTTCCAATTTTACGCGGGAGAAAATCCGAATAACCAAAGACCTATATAAAACCAGAAAACCAGAAAATTACAGTCTTTTGCAAATTCCAAGTCAAGTCAAACTTTATTTTGGTGAAAGGCCAATACAGAACGAAATAGTTCACCAGCTGTTTAAAAGCAAAAGAGGAGGACCAAACATAAAAGATAAGGTAAAAGAATACAGGTAGTCCTCGACTGACGACCACAGTTGAGCCCAAAGTTTCTGTCGCGGAGTGAGACCTTTGTTAAGTGAGCTTTGCCCTATTTTATGACCTTCCTGGCCATAGCTGTTAAGTGAATCACTTCAGTAGATAGTTAGTAACCTGGTTGTTAAGTGAATCTGGCTTCCCCATTGACTTTGCCCATCAGAAGGTTGCAAGATCACGTGACCTTGAGACACAGCAACAGTTATAAATATGAACCAGCTGCCAAGCATCTGAACTTTGATCACATGACCATGGGTGCGCTGCAAAGGTCATAACCATGAAAAGCGGCCATATGTCACATTTTTTAAAATGCCATTGTAACTTTGAACGGTCACTAAAGGAACTGTTGTAAGTTGAGGACTATTTGTACTACAGAATATTATTCTCACCATTGTTACTGCTGTAAGCAATGGGCTACGGGCCAGGTTCTGATTGCACAATCACAGAATGTTCTTGATATGCACACAGAGGCCCCTGTGCACAAATCTGAAACTGGCATAGGAGTTGTATCCCTATGACACTCAAAGTGTTGACTGAGACAAAGCTAGTTTAGGCGAGGGACACTGCAGGAAGTAACTTCAACAGAAGTATCACAAATGATGATCTGATAAGAGAAGGGAGGGAGGGTGGGAGGGAGGGAGGGAGGGAGGGAAAGGTTGGAAGAATGAATATGAAGGAAGTTTCACACTGGGTTGGTGGATTGAAAACAAATTGCTTGGATTTGGTACATTTAGCAATAGCAACAGCATTTAGATTTATATCCCACTTCACAGTGCTTCACAGTCCTCTCTAAGCGGTTTGCAGAGTCAGCCTATTGCCCCCAACAATCTGTGATCCTCATTTTCCCGACCTCGGAAGGATGGAAGTCTGAATCATCCTTGAGCCGGTCAGGATCGAACTCCTGGCAGTGGGCAGAGTCAGCCTGCAATATTGCATTTTAACCACTTTGCCCCCCTACAACTCTTCTGTTAATCGACCTCACTAGCTCTATGTTTTCCCTGCAGGAATGAATGCTTTACAGCTGCAGAATTTGGCAACCTTAGCAGCCGCAGCCGCCGCAGCCCAGTCCTCGGCCAACACTGCCAATGCGAATCCACTCTCCACAGCATCAGGGGCCCTTGGTGCACTCACAAGCCCAGGTACGATCGAACAGAGCATTCTTCATCTTGGTTCCAAAGAAGGAGGGCAAATAGAGAGATCTGAACATTAACCTCCTTCTAGCCATGCATCCAATGGGATTCTGGTACATGAATGACGGGTCCATTGGAGATTTTATTCTGACTTATTTTCTTTGTGTGAAGTAAAGCATATTTTCTCTAATCGACAATGGAAACTTGGTCAAAGGCAATGTCTGAACATTTCAACAGTCTGCATTACAAGGGCGTCTTCAGGGTGTGGTCAGAAAGTCGAGATGGCAGCCATGTTGGTGGCTATTGAAGTTCCCCTGGTTTTTATTTTTTTTCATTTGATTATTCCACCACAGCTGCCATCTTGACATATAGGTGGGATTCAGCTGGATCACACCACTTCAGCAGAACTGGTAGCTCAGTGGTTCTCAACCTTTTTAATGCCGCGACCCCCAACTGGTCGTAAGTTGAGGACTACCCAACCAGTCGTAAGTCAAGGACTACCCAACCAGTCGTAAGTCGAGGACTTTCCCTGCCCGAGAGCACCGCACATGCGTAGTGCTGCCCCCTGCGCCGGCCGAGGCGTAGCTGGCAAGCGGCAGAGACGGCGCAAGCCGACCACCGGCTGGGCCACCAGCTGGCCCAGACCAAGGGAGGTAAGGCACCCGCCGGGCCCCACACATGCCAGCAACTCTCCCTGTGCCCACCGGCCTCCCACCTCCCACCCCTGGCCCTCTTTTACTTACATTTTTAGTAGTTGCTCAGCAGGGAGGGGTGGAAGCTTCCAGACAGCTCGCCTTCGTTGCAGACAACTTGCAGCACCGTTTGCAGAATGGGACTTTTGGCGGGCTCAGCAGGGCAGAGACAGCCTGGACAATTCCTATTGGCTTTTGAAAGCCAATAGAATTAGACTCTATTCAAGAGAGTCTATTCTATTGGCTTTCAAAAGCCAATAGAATAAAAGGGAATAGCACAGCTAAGGAAAAGGGGGGGGAAATGGTAGACTGCGTTGTTTGGCGACCCCCATGAAGTGGTCGTTCAACCCCAAATGGGGTCTCGACCCACAGGTTGAGAACCACTGCGGTAGCTAATTTTTTGTTGCCCAGGCCCAGAATGGACTTCCAGAAGCGGCATCCACACCGAGAACCGCTTGTTCACCTATTTGAATCCCACCACTGCATATGTATCTTGTAGACACCCTTCCTGTATTGAATTGTGATTTCAAGTGTGTTAGCTGTGTTATTTTAAATTTTAATAAGGATTTAAGAATGGGGAAATCTTAATGAGGGAGCTTTCCAAAACGTGTCTGTCCTATCTGTTGCCAAGGTTTCTTTTTGAAAAGACGTTTTATCTACTTCACATTGCTAACCCTCTCAAATGAGAGAGCAGAATTTTAACCAGGGGATAATATTTCATTCATGGATCGTTGCAGGCGATTTAGCCTTGAGCATTTGGGGGACCATATTTCAAGTGAGCATTTTATATATTATCCGCTATAACAGTATTTACTTTTGATTTTTTTTTAAAAAAAAGATAATGATAATTTATTTTAGCTTTACGTTGCACCTAGTAAAAAAAATTACCCTGGTTTTGCCTGTTACAATATTTATCCAATTGTATCAAGCCTTTTTATTTTATTTCAAAAAATTGACAATGCTAGAAAACATGACACCTTCTTTTATACTGATGGTTTTAACGAAATTCTGTTTCTTTTAATTCTGGACACTCTTGATCTTCTTTTGAGACTTCTGAAAAGCTTATCAGAGGAAAAGACAAATGTCCTTCTGTGTCCCTTGGGAGAAATTAAATCAGGTTCTCACATCAGGATAAATTTAAAGATCTGTTCTGGGGCCCCACGCAACATCTAATGTGTCCAATTACTAAACTGCTATTTCATACAAATGATTGTAATTCTTAGACGATCCAGAGAGTTCGTGCAGGAATAGCCTTTTCCCTCAGCTTTTCATCTTGAAGCAAAGTATATTTTAGTTGACTTGTGATTCCTTTCTCGTAATAGCATCTTTCTGTGGCGCACAGTGTCAGTTCTGTTGTGAACTTTCATGATTCATGTGCAGCCATGCAAAATACCTTGTGTGTTTCCTCTTTCGGGATGGGAATGTAGAAATCTACCATTGCTATATTTTTGTGACACTGACCAGACCAAGAATTCTGTCAAGCAAAGAAGAAATTTATTCTAGCTGTTTTATTCCAAGTCAGCCAACAATCTTTTCCTCCTTATCTCTTTGCTCCAGAGCTGGACAAATGCTCAGTGACCGCTTAGCATTTGCAGATTTCAAATGTATCTTGTGTTCCTTGATTTGCCGCACAATCACCTTGGTTGACTTTTCCCCAATTTTAATGCTGTCCGCATTGTGGGATTCCACTTCTGGCACCCACATTTTATAAAAGTATACTGTTTTTAGACCCGATTTAGGATTTACACAGCCGAGTAGCGGTCGGCAGAAAATGGAGTGCAAAATAATCTTACATAGGGATTAAATACCAGTTGAAGATGATAAAACCAAATGGAATTATTGAAGACAACACACAACATTGTGTGGGGTGGGGCTTGCTGCATGCTTCCACCTGGTAACCTCATTTTGGCCCACAGGGATGGAAATACAGCAGACTCTGGCAATGGATTGCATCCTTTTCTGCGCCCCTATCACAACCAAATTAAAAGCAGATTCTGCATGCTTCGGGTATGTGTTGTGGGGAAGAAAGTCACCAAGGTGTACACTTATCCATCTACTAAGTTGGATGGTTTTGAACTACTTTTCAGTCTGTTTCACAATTTTATTGTGGGAAAAGGATTGTGGAGAAATTGTGCATTATGCTTGGTAGAAGAAGGGTGGACTACAAAGGTACTAATCGGAGTTAGTATTACTGCTATTGAAAATGGAATATATTAAAACAATTTCACCTGTATATTCATGCACCCCTGCATTTGTTCCAACTTTCAAGCATTGCTTATAAAAACAGGGGATCATTTCCAAACTAAGTTAAAATTCATCCTCTTTCAAAATGACCTTGGTTTTTCACACTAGCTTCTAACCACAGATTCTACCAAATTCAAGAGTGTCTTTTCAGCCTGATTCAACATGTAATTTTGTTGCAAAGAAAATCCCAAATTTGTTTACTGGTACAAAATTCAGAAGATGCTGTTCTGCTTAATTTAACAGTCTTCCTTAGCGGGGGAAATTGTGTAATAGAAGAAAAATCAGCTCTCTTGACTTTAATGAAGCTGCTTTAATGAACATGTTCTAAGCATTATTAAACTTGGAAATGTGTTTAATAGCTAGAGAATGGCCTTAAGAGCATCGTTGTACATTTATATAGAAGCTTGAGGTTATTAACTTTCATAAATCAACTTTAAAATTAGAGAGCAAAGTTGCTCTACCACTGGGAAGGCACTGCTATAAGAGCATTGCCAACAACTACTTTTATATCTAAGAACGTCAGATAAATTTTCAGGGTAAGGATCACTGAGCCATTAAGAAAACCATTGTTTTCCACACAGCTCAGCCATAGGTTTAGGCAGCCCTACATAGGAAGTTATTTGTGCTCAGTTGATTATGATTCTAAGATATTCTTCATTTTAAGCCTGGGATCATTGTTTAAAGTTGTGTGGCATTTGTAGAATTCTGAGGGGCAGATGGGATGAGATGAAAGGACTTTTAACACAATCTCCAAGAAACAACAACAACTCCTCCTCCTCCTCCTCCTCCTCCTCCTCCTCCATAATTCACTTTCCCCCTCAGAATTTTCCTTTGTTAATGAATGTTGATAACTGAAGGGACAGCTAGACACCAAACCAGCTGCCCTTTTAAATCCATCTGAGTTTGCTCAGTAGGACCAGCAGTTGGGTGGCTTTGCTTAATTATGGTGCAATAACTGTGCGTATAGTCAAGTACATATAGTCAAGGCCATGGTTTTCCCAGTTGCAATGCATGGCTGTGAAAGTTGGACCATCAGAAAGGCTGAGCGCCAAAGAATTGAGGCCTTTGAACTCTGGTGCTGGAGAAGACTCCTGCGAGTCCCCTGGACTGCAAGGCGATCAAACCGGTCAGTCCTAGAGGAGATCAACCCCGACTGCTTTTTAGAAGGCCAGATCCTGAAGTGGAAACTCAAGTACTTTGGCCACCTAATGAGAAGGACTCACTGGAGAAGAGCCTGATGCTGGGAAAGATGGAGGGCAAGAGAAGAAGGGGACAACAGAGAATGAGGTGGCTGGATGGAGTCCCTGAAGCAGGAGGCGTGAGCTTAAATGGACTCCGGAAGATGGTAGAGGACAGGAAGGCCTGGAGGAACGTTGTCCATGGGGTCGTGATGGGTTGGACACGACTTCACAACTAACAACAACAACTGTGCATTTGTGAGATGGCCTCGTTATGTGCAATAAAGAACCACTGTGGTTTAACCTTTTGTTTTTTTTAGGCCACCAGAGACAAGGTTTTTGATATATTTTTGATACCGTGGAGAAAAAGAGTCTAGGTGGGATGTTTGGGAATCTGGGAATCCGCTGCTTCTAAAAAGCAGTGGCCTCGGAAGAATACACCATTCTTAGGGCCATAAGAAGCCACATAAAAAGTCTTCATAAAAAACTTTGCATTTATCTTATATTTATCCCATGAAAACAGCAATATGCAGTCCAAGATCTTTTCTGCAAGCTGAGATCTTTTCTGTGGATCTCTTGAGAAAGGGATATCCAAACTCTTTGCTGGGCCCATGGTTTTATTTCAACTTTTCCAGTACTTGAAAGGCTGTCATAGAAAAGAGAGATTGACTTATTCTGCGAAACACCTGAGGGCAGGACAAGAAGTAATGGGTGGAAGCTTGTTAAAGAGAGATCTAACCTACAAGTAAGGAGAAATTTTCTGATAGTGAGGATGATTAATCAATGGAACATGTTGCCTCCTGGAGTTGTGGGTGCTCCATCACGGAAGGTTTTCAAAAATAGACTGAACGACCATTTGACTGGAATAATATAAGGTCTCCTGCCTTGAGTAGGG